TTAAAAAAGTTTCATTATTTCTTTTGTATAACAACTATTTTATATTATAGTAGTCGTTCTCTTTGCTTTACTTAATAAAATATGTATACAAAAATCTAAAAAAAGATCATGAGTTTATTGCTAAACACTTTTTGAATAAAAAGAACAGAAATAAACGAAAATAAAAATAATGGAATTATTTTTTATAGCGAATCCGGGTCGGACCCAAGGGGCTCTAGTCGCGACAAGCGATAAGAAAGTGAACTTGGGTAAATACTAGATCGGACATGCAGCTTCATGTATTAGCAGTTCAAGTCACACTATGAATATCTTCTAACGTTTATACTTTAATAGAAAAATGAAAGCTCAGAAAATGGGTTAAATATATGACAGTCACTTTTACTACTTTCAACTGAAGAAATTATTATGACATATCATCTAAAGTTTAATCAGCTATGGTTATAACAGACAGTTCCATTGAAGATGGAGATAAACAGATTTCACATTCTCTGCCGCTCTCTTAACTTAACAGAACTTTTCTTTTCTTTAAATAGATGCATACAAAAAGGCGTCAATGTGAGTCATTCGATTATGATCGGAGGTATTTAGACGCCAATTATTTGGAGATTCTCTTTCGAAGAGATCTGTTCTTGGTTCCACATAACATATTTCAATCGAACGTCGTCATCTTGTTCAAAGATAAAACTATATGAATATGACAGTCAACCGTTTAATCACTCTGTTTTATGTGTGTTAATAACTGAAAGTAGAACTGACTTATTCTGTATAGAAGAAGAATTTAAGGTGAGAATTTTCAATAAAAAAAGTTAGATAATTGCCACCACATTTAAATATAGTAGATAGAAAACTCTTATATGAGACGGTTCGTTAGTTTACTTCTGACACCATCAGTCAAATCAACAAGTTTAAAAGAAAGAAAAAAAAATCCGTGTACAATTGAAAATAAGTGGAGAAAGACCTAGAGAATAGAAGACTAAATATATTTGTATCTATACGATAAACGACACATCAAAATGTTTTAAGAAGGCAGCCTTTTTGGCAAACACATTCTTTTCCTTTCTATCATTGTATAAGTCAATAAGTAAACTTTTTTTATTAGTCCAATGTGTAACTTTCTTTTATTAGTCCTTTTTGTCAAGGCTGATTCTGCAGCCAAAATATTTGAATTCCAATTCATTCGGTGACACGTTTCTTTGCAAAAGTTCTGCAATTCTTGAGAATCCAATACCACAAAAAGTATCAGAATGTTCTTGTTTGAATTGGAATTTAAATGTTTTGGCTGCAGAATCAAACTTGACAAAAAGAATGAACTTATTCACTTTAAAAAGATAGTTACTTATTGGACTATTTAAAAAAAGTTTACTTATTGACTTATACAACGATAGAAAGAAAAAGAATGTGTTTGCCAAAAAAAGCTTCCTTCTTAAAACATTTTGATGTATCGTTCATCGTATAGATACATATTTAGTCTTCTATTCTCTAGGTCTTTCTCCGCTTGTTTTCAATTGTATAAGGAAATTTTTTTTTCTTCTAAACTTGTTCATTTGATTGATAATGTCAGAGGTAAACTGACGCAACATCTCCGATAAGAGTTTTCTATCTACCATGTTTACAGATGTGACTTATTCTTTATTGAGCAGTCTTTGGTATCCGTAATATTTTGTTATATCGTTCACATCAAGTTTTTGTGAGAAATTTGTGTATTTTTTTCTGAATTATATCGGTATGTGGACGAATTGTAATGAGTATTCAATTTTGTTATCCAGGTATCATAAAAAAATCGATCAACAATAACAATAGCTACAAATTAGACAAGTAGTTGTTATCCTGTCATTTAGAGGACTCAAGCTGAGACCAAAATCGAGCGTTAAGGGAAGTTAACTGAATGGTTTAACTAGAATAGAAAGCTGATTTAACTCCGTATGTTTATATTTATGTAAAACTTGTTACTATTGACGTTGAATTTGTGAGTGCACTTAATATGCGTATCAACTTGAAAGATCAGTATTCTTTTGTTCTTTCTAAAAGTATATAACTCATCAGCATGTCTACTTTGACTTCCAAAAACAGAAACTCCACCAAAGTAACAAATGGCGGATAATCTGTTTTTAGATATTTTTGAACTGATTATGATGTTGTTTTCGTTTACTGGAGATTCTCTTGTTATTAATTGCGACGAGCTTGTAAATAATGAAGAATCTGTTGTTCATGAACTATAAGCAATATCTGATCACTATGTAGGTGTAGGTGAGGGTGAGGTGAGGGTCACCTACATAGTGATCAGATATTGCTTATAGTTCATTGTCTGTTTACGGTAGTTCGATAGTCTCTTTACGACCGTCACATCGATGTAAATGTTGGTTAGAGAAAGCTTCGAAGATATATCCGATGTTTTTCCTTTCAGAGAATAATAAGTTGAATAATAAATATACGCCAGAGACTGTTCAGTCTCCACCCTCTAGCCTTGACATTTGAAATCGGACCTACCCAGTTTTGTGACTCCTCTTTTGCTGTTTCCAACAAATGCGCCTCATGTATAATCAGCTCTACAGTGTGGAAGTTTTCACATTTTTGCTGCAACGAAGCTACGCTAAATTTTTAATCTTATTTACAATAGAAAGATCACATCTGTACAATTACATATTTTGCTTAACAACTTTTTCATTCTCAATACATCGTATTTGTTTCATAAAATAACTAAAACGACAACAGGTCAAGAGTATTCAAAAATAAAAAACTAATATTTCGAATCATTACCAGAAAAGAAGAGATCTTATATTAGTGTATAAATTTTAGGGTAAAGTATGCAGAAACGCGCAAAAACAAAAGATTCTGGATCACGGTTTCGCATCGAACACTAAACAATAGACCGCGTTTTTTTTTGAGGCCTAATTCCTTAATTGGATAGTAAACGAGAACATTTGGCAATGTTAGAAGCAAGTTTCTTGTTCGTCTGTAGTTGAAGACTACATGGCTTCTCTATACTATTTAATAGTGGAGTTAAAATCATTAGTTGCCAGACAGGTATTGCAAGCATTTTTAGAACTCTCAGAATTCGATGCCTAATTGAAACGAACTTTCAGTTTACTTCACTGACGAGGGAACCTTTTCAGGTGGCCATCTCCGATTTCAATGATTTATTTGTCGATCGATAGAGGATAGTGAGCTAGTGAAACCTCTGAAAGGATTTGGGCTCTTGTCGCTTCTTTTGCTGTTGCTCACGACGAAAGAGCTATCAATCGTCAGTTCTTTACAAAAACTGCTGAAAATTTCCAAACTGAAACAGAACTCTTAATTCCTTTTGTTGAGAGAGTTATAAAATTTTTAATTTTTCTTGTTTCACTAGGAAAAGAGGAAAAATTCCATAACTTTTGAAAGAAGCGACAACGGCACAAATCCTTTTAGGATTTTTACTAGCTCACTATTCTCTATCGATCGACATATAAATCATTGAAATTTTTTATATCACTTACATGTATTTTGAAACATTCTAAGTCAGAAAATTGACCCTATATCATAAAAAAGATCTATGCTTTTTAAAACGCAAAATAAGTAATTTTACATCATAAGATGCACGGATAGATAGTGTACGCTGTAAATCAGAAACTCACAAATCTTGATATGCCAGAGGCCAATGCGACTATTTGCTATTTACGACTATACGCAAAGACATTGTTGCGCCATTAGAATACGGTTCATCTAAACAGCATTTCTTCGTCGACAGGCAAATCATCTCTATACAAAGACAATTGCATTCATCAGTTTAATATGACTGAAGACACATAGAAGATAAGCGTGACAATTTTCGAAAAAAACAGCAACGGCGTGGCACGGTTAGCTGAGGGCCAGAAAACGATTTGGAAACGATCAGTAACAACGTTGTGAACTCACGGTGTTTCCGCTACTAAACGGTCCATTGGCCGGAAGTTTACTGTGTATTAGCGGGCTGCTTGCGTCATTTTTGACTACATGGATCATCGAATATCATCTGTTCATATCTCATGTTCAACGACGTTGTTGGTTTGCCATTTACTTTTTTTCGTGACATTCGTGCTAAAAAATGCGTAGTTTAATAAACCCAAAAACGGAGGGTTTTGAACAGTGAAAGCTTTTTTATTGTGATTACTAAACCTAAAAGAGTTTCGTATTCTACTAAACTAAAGATGTCTCAAAACACTAGTCTTCTGGTTCTCAAAAAGCGTTTTTTCTTGAAAACTATTTTTTTGCTACCAGGCTTCATTGTGTCACATTACGACCCCCCTTAAATTGCATCCGATCGAGTTCAAAGTTTTACCAGAGGTACTCAAGACACAATTGCAGAAGTAATTTTTTGGAATGTTATTTTAGACTTTTCTTTATCGACTTATAGGGTTTCTAAAATTTAAAAACTTGGTTTATGAGACGGTTTTCAGAATTTTTCCTATAACTCGACCTGGAAAGGTCTCAAAAAAATTTCCCAAAAACGATCTCTGCGGAATGACTTATGGTAAAATTTTGTACTTGATCGGATGAAATTTAAGAGGGTCGTAATGTGGCACAATGAAAAACCGAGTGTTCTAAAAAACGGGTGAACGGCAATCGTTTTGAAACAAACACGAAAAAGTGCTCCATTGAGTTTCCAATCAGTTCTGAGAATAGGAAGCCCTAGCGACTTTTACTTTTTATTTAACAGCATTTCTACGGCAAGCCCAAAAAGAGAGAAGGGGTGCTCTCAACATGAGAAAGTATTCTGACGCAATAAAAGAGCATTCAAACGAAAGAATAATAAATAAGTAACGTTTACAATGAAACTATTATGAAGTTTATATATTCAGAAAAAAAAGAGTTTGTCGCAATCATGGACAAAATGATCACAACGATGTCTTTTATACAATTTTTATTTATATCGTATCACGTTGACCAAACGAACGGTTTTCTCACGTTACCGGTTAATTCAACATATACTACAAATATACAAACACGAAACATAGCCTGTTATTATGGAACAATTAGTGGAGGGGAAAATGGTGATCAATATTACCAACCGTCATACGGTAATTATCAGTACTGTGTTCTTATATTATCTTTCTATTCTTCTAATGGAAATTTGGTGGAACAAATTGATTTTCGTAGAACTACTGTTTTGAATACATATCGACGAATGTCAGAACGTTGCCAAGGTTTCTCAAATATAACCGATGTTGGCTACGGGTTATGTAGTCCGTTATCCTACCAAACAGTTGTTAGTCTTGTTTTATGTATTTGTGCAACCAGTAATTGTAACAATAACTTATCAACTTGTCAGTCATCGGCTACAGCGTTTCAACCGACACGATTACCAACGTTTTTACCATATCTTTTAAGATCGATTTCATGTCAGGATTATGACTATATATCAGGCAACACATATACTTACTGTCAAGAACTTGATAAATCAATAAATTATACAGCATGCAATGATTATGTCAAAGCAAACACTGTATTGTGTTCAATTTGGACTCTTTCTTCACAAAATTTCACCGCATTGTATCGAGTGGCTTATCTACCAGAAAATTATGAAGAATTTTTGCTTTCTACTTTGTACGGTTATTTGGTATATAGTAATACATCAACATACAATGAAAGTAGTAGCAGCTTAATTGTTAAAACTGGAATACAAAATTTTACGTATATATCATGTTATTGTACATCAAATAACTGTAATGCAAACTTTAGCACTTGTGCAGTCCCTACCACTAACTCAACAACTACATCACAATCAACATCGAATGGTATGTTGACGTAGTCTGTTGAGCGTATATAACAACTAAATGATTTGTCTTTTACTTTTTCAGGTTCTGCTTTAAGTGTTGGAGCAATTGCTGGTATTACCATTGGAGTAATATTAGGTGCAGCAGCTATTGGAGTAATAATCGGTTTTATCTCCTATCGTGCAGGAAAGAAGTCAAGAAAAGAACCAGTTTATACTTATTTTTCCAAAACTGCACGCTTTTAAGAGCGATTTTATCTGACTAAAATACTTAAATGCTACTGACAGACTCAAGTCTTGCTCCAGTCTACAAGCAACGTTCATCTTGAATTCACAGATCATTGGCTGTCAGTGCGTTATTTTCTATCCCTTGTGTCTGTCATGATTTGCGTCTACGGTGCCACACGTCGATTCTAGCAAACCCTGCTGTTGACTAGTTTTTAATGCGCCAGTCCACTATTTTTAGTAGGAGAGAGCACTATTTTCTGATGAGTATTCTATTGCATTAATGGGCCAGCCCATTATTTTCCCTGTCCTGCGTTTGTCATCATTTTCAACTGTGACGTTGTATGTTGTGACATACTTGGACCCTAGCGATATCTATCTTCATCTGCCATTTTCACGTTGATTGCGGTGTCACATATCGGATCGCGCAACATCTGGCTTCATTTGACATTGTCACTCGACCTTACTCCGGCCGTCTATCTTCGATCTCTGCTGTTTAATTGAGACGCCAACGGATGGACGCCGCAATTTATTATGTATGACCAATCATTTCAGTCAATGGATATATACCAAAGATTTCCGCTACCCATTAGTATCATTAGGACTTGTATTCGAGTTCATATGATGCCTGAGCCCTAACACTTCTACTTTCGCTCACGTACATGATATTTAATATTGTCAAGCTGATACCGAATATTGCTTTATTATCAATACAAACTCGAAGAGGAATCGGCGCCTCTACGATTCCATTATTCTTGTTTTTGAATTTCCCACTCGTCATCATAGCTGACGGTGACATTAGCACTGATTGACACCGCATACTCCAGTAGCATTTCAGATCACTTTCGCGCCAAGAATACAGGCTCTTCTTGCTGCGGTTTCAATAAAAATTTTGAAACTTAACTCGAGATCACACCTAATCTTGCTGTTTTTGCCGTGTAACGAAAATATCACAATCAGGAAAATCGACAGGAAAATTTTCTGGCGGGATCACGCCGAGATCTGAGCAAGATTGAAATGAGTTCAGATTGAAAGCGAAAATATTTTGGCACGAGCCGGATACGATCGTACCAAGATCCTATCGAGATCAGAAAAAGATTACGGCCAGATGACGGGAGAACCTTTATCTCTGATTTCAATGATTTATATGTCGATCGATAGAGGATAGTGAGCTAGTAAAAACCCTAAAAGGATTTGAGCCTTGTCGCTTCTTTCAGAAGTTATGGAATTTTTTCTCGCTTTTCCTAAGAAAATAAATTACGAGTTCAAATTTTTTCTATGGCACTTTCTATATGTCTTCCATATTCATAGAAAGTTTCAGCTTTTCAATTGGTTCCGTCCCAGAGTTATAACATCTTTGAATTTTCTACGGGTTTGCTGTTGGATACGCTCGCGATGAAAGAGCTATAAAATCGTCAGTTCTTTATAAAAACTACTGAAAATTTCAGAACTGGGACAGTTTTTATACCTTATTTTTATTTTGAAAACAAAAAACGTGTCTTCAAGCTGATAGTAGATTATACAGTTATCAGAAACCTCCCTGAAAATCAGAGTTTCAAAACACCAAAATTATATAATTTCAGTGAAAAACATCTCTGTTCTGAAATTTTCAGTAGTTTTTATAAAGAACTGACGATTTTATAGCTCTTTCATCGCGAGCGTATCCAACAGCAAACCTTTAGAAAATTCAAAGGTTTTATAACTCTGGAACGGAACCAATTGAAAACCTCAAACTTTCTATGAATATCAAAGACATATAGAAAGAGCCATAGAAAAGAATGTGAACTCTTAATTTCTTTTGTTGAGAGAGTTATAAAATGTTTAATTTTATCCTTTTGCACTAAGAAAAAAAGAAGGAAAAATCCATAACTTTATGCAACTAACATCATTTCAAAAGATGAAAAGTTCAAACTGCATTTACAACTATTACTCGTCAATACGAACATCTTTTGTCGCTAAAAAATATTTCATCAGTATTTTGGTATTTTAAGAAAAATTATACAAAACCGCGATTTTTGGAGTTTTTCTTATTTAAATATCTCTATAAAGACAAAATGAAATTTTGACACCAATATATGATTTAGAATCCCCAATTCATTGTCTCTCTAACGGTGAAAACCACGGGACTTCAGTTGTTTTCTAGACTGAAGAGTAGAGCAAGCACTGACCAGTGGTTTTCAATTTTTACCAACTTTGAGTCCTCTTCTGGCCTATTGCAAATTCTACAGACTGTTCTCATATATAATATTGATGTGCATAGCACAGTGAGCAATTTTAAATAGGCACATGGAAATTTAGTGAAAAATGCACTTAATCGTCTCAAATCAAGGGTTTATAGGATTTCGAGTATGCTCTTTCCAGTTCGACTATCAACAAATGCTTAGAAATTTATTAGAGAGGGTTTTTGGAAAACCACTCATGCAATAGGCCCATCGTTACTGTCCATCCTTAAAGTAGCTGAAAACATTAACTCTTTAAAAGTTAGATTTGAGATTTTCCTATTTCGAACTAGAAAGTAAAATAAAAGGTACTGTTGAAACA